CTTCATTCATCTGTTGATGGAAACTTAGGTTGCCTTCATATCTTGGCTGCTATAAACAGTGCTGCTATGAACACTGGAGAGCATGTATCTTTTCAAATTAAGAGTTTTCATTTTCTTTAAGTATATACCCAGGAATGAAATTGCTGGATCATATAGTAGCTCTATGTTTATTTTTTTGAGGAACCCCCTTACTATCTTCCATAGTGACTATACCAATTTACATTCACACCAACACTATACAAATGTTCCTGTTTCTCCACATCCTTGCCAATATTTGTTATTTTTGGTCTTTTTGATGACAGCTACTCTGACAGGTGTGAGGTGGTATCTCATTGTGGTTTTGATTTGCATTTCCCTGGTGACTAGCGATATTGAGCATTTTTTCATGTGGCTGTTGGCCATCTGTATGTCTTCTTTGGAAAAACATTTATACAGGTCTTCTGTCTGCTTTTTAATTGGGTTGTTTTTTTTGATACTGAGTTGGATGAGGTGTTCATATATTTTTTATATTAACCTCTTAACTGTCATAGTATTTGCAAGTATTTACTCTATGAAAGTGAAAGTCACTCAGTTGTGTCTGACTCTGTGACCCCATGGACTATACAGTCCATGGAATTCTCCAGGCCAGAACACTGGAGTGGGTAGCCTTTCACTTCTCCAGGGGATCTTCCCAATCCAGGGATCAAACCCAGGTCTCCCACATTGCAGGCAGATTCTTTACCAGCTGAGCCACAGGGAAGTCCAAGAATATTGGAGTGGGTAGCCTATTCTTTCTCAAGCGGATCTTCCCAACCCAGAAATTGAAGCAGCGTCTCCTGCATTGCAGGTGGATGTTGAGCTACCAGGAAAGCTATTTTCTCTATAGCATTTCTTAATTATGGGCATACAACTAGGTTTAAGTCCTTATACTTACAGTTAAACAAATTTAAAAATTAATGAGCTACATTTACAAATGTAGTTAAATGCAAAAAAAACTACAATGTCAGCAATACTGAAATAGCCTTATTTTAATGTGAGAGATGATGTTGTTTGCTGAAACAAAATCACCCTTCAGGACATGAATATGGTACCAATGATGGTTTTTATCTTGGAGGTGTAGGCCACTGCATAATCTGCGATGACTCAAACAAAACATATTTCTTTTTCTGAACCACAGACAAACCTCCATTAGTGAGGCATGCTGTCACTTTTCTTCACTAAAATTAACAACACTTGTTGCCTGTTCAGTCCAGGTCTGTTCTTTACTTATTAGTCCCAAAGAAAGTTGAACTAGTCTCATAACACATAAACGAAAGTATTACTGAAAATATCTCTGGTGGTCCTCAGGTAAAAAGTGATCCTTGCATTTGTCAAACACCCTAGGTTTCAGGGAGGGATGGATTGGGAGTCTGAGATTAGCAGATGCAAACTATTATATGTAGAATAGATAAACAACAAGGTCCTTCTGTATAGCACAGGGAACTACAGTCAATATCCTATGATATTGACTAATATTTCCTAATGAAAAAGAATGTGAAAAAATGTGCATATATGTATAACTGAATCATATCACTGTAGAGCAGAAATTAACACACTGTAAATCAACCATACCTCAATAAAATAAATTAAAAAATAAAACCTATAGAATGTAAAACACAAAGAACAAACCCTAGTACAAAGTATGGACTTTAATTAATAATAATGCACTGATGTTGGCTCAACAAACGTGCTACACTAATGTAAGATATCAGTCATATGGAAACTGGAGGTGGAGGAGTCAGGGGGCATAAGGTACGTCTATACTTTTCACTCAATTTCCCTGTAAACCTAAAACTGATCATAAACAAAAAGTTTACTAAGTAGAAAAAAATGGTCACTATAGCATGTTTACATATTAATTCTTTCAGTTGTTGTCCAAATGAAAAGACAAAAATTTGCACATCTCGTTTAGAACTCATAGTCCTCCAAGAATATGTTTGTGTGTTCCAGGCTCCTCACCATGGTTCAAGTGCTAAAATCAGCGGTTCAGGAATGGAGTGGGGTATTCTGAAAAGCCATTAGAACTCTTTCTTCAAAGTCCCAGAAAATGTCTTGAAGGTCGTCTTTCAAAGATGTTCTTCTTGGGATATTTGTTTTCGGAGAGAGGTTAGAACACATGATCTCTAATTCCAAGATTATATAATTTTAGTTTTTATGAAGATTTAACCCTCAATTAATTTGCTTTTAGTTCTATTTTTCACAGACTGCAGTGGCCCAATGCCAGAACAATAATGTGCTTGAACTTCTAGCTTTCTAAGTCTTTCTCTTAATTCCCACAAGCCTGTCGAAATAGCAACAATTTCATCTAGGCCAACCAATTGTCAATTTTTGGTCCTGGGAAAGAATAACTAATAAACCCCACTTCATTCCAGCAAACCCAGATCACATTCCTTTCTGATGGCTTATCGCATTCCACTCCGAGCTGAGTTCCATAGTTCTAGCTGCACTTGACATCTTTGGGCAATGCTCTTCCTAACTTTTCTCTTAGAGAAACCCTAGAAAACCTTTATATTCTTTATTCCCTATGGAAAATATTTCCTTCCAGGAATCTGAGGCTAGGATAGATTTATAAAGGACTTGTGAAATTCTAAACTTTTTAAACATGTTATTGAATTCACACGTGTGTACATCTTTGTTCAGTTTTAGCAAACAACAATGGCACGTTAGAAGCTGGAACATCGTGGGCATTGAGAAAGTAAAAAAAAAACCTTCTGCAAAGTGTTCACTGGATCTGAATATTGAATTTCTTCAACTGGGGTAGAATAGTTTTCCATTTGAAAGTAAGTAAGAGGGATCCTAGTCATAAGCATGGGTGTCTAAGGGAGGAGTAGACACCCACGATTTCTGGCTCTCGTCTGTCTCTCTCCTGTCGCATTACATCAGACTGCTCACACTTCTGATGTGACTTCCAGAAAGGATGGCTGGCTGAGGCACGGCTTTTCAACGCCACCTACCATCTGCCCCGAGAACTGCATTAGCATCTCAGACGTCCTGGTCCGGAATCCATAATGGATTTGACTCTCCCAATCGCAGGAAGAGATGTATTGGAATAAAAAGAAAGAATAAAATGGAAGAGGAAGTGAACAGGCAAAGATTCTGGGGAATAAGCCTGAAAAATGAGGTGGCAAGGAAAACCTGTCTCTATCTCAATTTTGATATTTCCAAAAGGGAACCTTGATTTATAAAAGGTTACAATCAAACACAAATAGGGATGAGTGATGTTTCCAGTGTAGTAAGATCTAGTAATTACTCTTAGGTTGAATTAAAAGCAGTCATTTGATAACATACCCATTGAAGGATGAAAACATCCTTCTTTTAATATTGCTATCCCAGTGTGTTCCCTGTCTGAAAGCTATCACAAGGTATTTTTGAACACAAGTTAAAAGAAAGACAAAACATGCCTCCCTAAAGTGTTGAGACTCTTCTTTTTTCACTTGAGTGGTAATTTTTTTTTCATACTTTCACCAGTTTCAGGAAAGGGTGGGTTAGAGTCAGGGGCTTCCTGAAACTTTTCAGAACAAAAATTCTAATTCAGTGTGTTCAGAGGGGCCCCGTGAGAATCGTGTTTTGGAACATACCGACCCCATGTGGTATTATCTTTGCCAACTTTGCAGTTTCGTGTGAGATTTATTTTTAATCTTTAACAAAGCATGCCTGTGTTTATCTTAACTTACGAAAAAAGTGTAATCATTTAAAACAAAACTTTTAAAAATAATTAAATATACAATGAATGCTGAAACATAAAAGTCAGACAGAATGTTACCTTAACAAGAAAGAGCTTCCTAAAGATCAAAGGATTGCTGTTTGTTTTATTTGCTTAAGTAACCAGTACTTTCACTTTAAGGGATTTGGTGGCTATTTGAAGGAGGCTAGGAGGTATCCACTGCCCAACCCCCACCAAGATAAAGGCCTCCCACCCCTCACATTGAGAGCTGGGAACTTTACTTATTGACACTAAAAATATATTCTTCGTGTTTAGAATGGAATGCTGAGATTTGATTGAAGACAGTACATGAATCAAGCGAATGGCATTTGGGGGGGCATGTCTTTCAATCTTATTTAGTAGAGGTTTTGGGGAAAGACCATCTTTTGAGCTTTCCTTTTGTGTGTGTGTGTGTGTGGCCATATGTCATCATTGCAGCACTGAGGAGGTACTGCATAGGCTTCTATGACCATCATGGAATGCAGTGCTTCCGAGTGCAATGCACCTCTCATATTGCCGATTTTAATGCTAGGTTCAATAAAAGAGGGAAGAAATGGGCTTTAGAGCATGAATGTCTTTTTTTCCTCTAAGTACCTTCAGATTAGGGTTTTAAGTCAGTGATGCTACCTAAGTTATTTGTGGACTGACAAGTGAGAACAGGATGAGATGGAAATACATCCAGTTCACTTGGTGGTGGCCTGCAAGAGGTGGGTTTGGGTAATGGTGGTCCCTCCTTCTATGAGGCCACTGTAATCAGCTAAAGCAACCTTAGATGGTGCAATATCTGGTTGTTCCCAGTCTGCTATCAGGTGAGCCCTACTAAATGCGACATAAATACCATTCAAAGAGAAATGATAGTTCTTTTCATTTGTCTCCTGTGTCCCCTCCAAACAGCTTTAAAATCTTTGCTACTTTTTATGAAAACTTTCAACCAATACTTATTTTGCATGTGGCTAGATCATGATTTCTGGGGGTTTTTAAGGGCACTGTGGCTGAATTTTATACCCAGGAAGTATAGCAAATGCTGAGCTTGAGCTCTAGAACCTGACAAACTGATTCTGTCACTGACTTATGACAGTCAGTGCAGTGAAGGATTCTAAGTCTTAATTTGCTCATTTGCAAAATGGCAATTATTAATAGTGTTTAATTTGAAAGGTTTGAACACAGATAGAGGTCTCAACACATGGTCTGGCATTATGTGGGAACTGTTTTACGGAAGGATATGTATCCAAGATCCTAAATCAATTACCAGAAGCCAAATCAATTACCAGAAGGTTGAGGAATCTCATTCATCTTTTTTTATTTTTGCTTTTTGGCCATGCCATTCAGTCAACCAGGATCAAACCCACACCTGTTGCAGTGGAACAAGAGTCTTAACCACTGGATCACCAGGGAGTTCCCCACACCACCCATCTCTTTTCACCTTGGTTCCTTTCTGTTACCATCTCACGGAATGATCTGGAAGTTCTCAGTAGGATGTTCCTCAGCAGGCAGTCCACAGGCACATGCTGTGAGGGTGGAAGGAAGAAGGTCCTGAAGCAAAGACAGTGACCCTGACAAATGCAGACAGGACAGAATATTCATGCTGAGGTTTTTTTGTTGGTGGTGGTTCAATCATTCTTCAGAACCCTACACGGGACTGAACTTAATTGCAGTGTGCAATAACTATCCCAGGACTCCAGGAAATCTTACAGAAAACAAATCCTCTCACGGTTGGGAGAGCCATAATGCAAATATTCCAAACATCAGATACTCCCCAAATCATGGTTTAGGAATGCACTGAATCAGCAAATTACTTTGTTTTGCTTAGTTTACTTTAATGGGCGGCAGTATGGCAGAATGGTGAAGTGAGGAAGCACGGTTGTTACAGTTTTAAAAATTATTTCATGGTATTGTTACCAATAATTGCTTGATTGTTGGTTGATACCTAGTAACTACAAATCCATCAGAACTGGAAAGGTAGATCGTATGTATGAGAGATAATAAAAGCAAGTTTTAAAAGTACTGAAGACAGGGCAGGAGGCTAGTACTTTTAAAAGGGAGGAAATAAGACTCATTATTTGGGGTAGGCTGGTATATCAGGTTTCCAAGAGTTATTTTGGTTTGCAGAAAGACTTGAGCTTGGATCCTATCAAATAAAGGCTTCTCTTAAAGTTTCCAAATGACTGAATAAGTGATTTTCTAAACCCTTCATTTTATCCACAGCATGACGAACATGAGTATCTGGACTGAGTCCACAGTGCTTTTCCTAATGTTGATCCCGCAGCTCCTTTTCAATTCTGGATTCAGAGAAGTTCTAGCCTAAGTGTGGCTGACTCAATGAAGTTAGATGGCTCTGTGGGCCCTGCTGTATCTCTACTGGAATGTTTTTTATAGTCACATCCTCAACTGCAAAATTACTGATGAGTAGACACTTGTAGCCCCAATCCCGTAACTCTACCACAAAAATAGAATTTCAGACTCTTTCAATATGAATATTATCTAGAGAAAACTATATCTAGGTCTTCCCTGATAAGTTACATGATTCAGTGCTTTGTCTCTATAAACTAAAGTTAGAAACTCAAGAGTGACTCACTTTTCTTTTTTGCATGCATCTAAGTGAACAAGGAAGTCACACTGCTTCTGGTGTTGCTTTCTTTACAAGGAAAAAAAAAAAAACCTTGCTCCTTCTCGAGCATCCTTTTTAGGTCAGCAATTTTGAAGTGCAGGACTTATTGGTGTCCAAGCGGAAAGGGCTGATGCTCTGATTTATCACGACTCCCTCCAAGTGGAGTTCTTCCATGGCTGGAGAAAGGAAAACATTTGTTGTACTAATACTGAATGTGCTTCCTGTGTAAAATAACCTTTAACTCCGTGGAGATCCCCCATTTTAATGATTGGGATATAGTAGAAATAGAAGGAAATCCAAATGCCCCAGTAGCATCCACTCTCCTCCCCGGTAGGTCAGGCTGCAACCCTCTGAGAGACAGAAATGGTTGCTTGGGAAGCATTCAAGCCTTCTCTTTCTCCTATTTTAAGATATGACCATTTTGATTGTTTAAAAATGTGTGTGACATTCTGACCCATTAAGGAGACTGGGCTGTGTCAATCAGGGGGAATGAGGTGGGTAGACTGGAGAATTCTGGCACTCACACATTTGTCGTGGGGATGGGAGGGACTCTTGTCAACTGGAGAACAAGCTCTCAAACCCAAGCCAGACTGCAGCTTCCTGCATCTCCCTATCTTTATGATACAAATATGACTGAGTCTACTCAGTCCACCTCAGTTCTGGCTCAGGGTGACTGCCCTGAGCACTGAAACGATTCTTCCTACATAGAACCTGAAATGGGATTCCCTACACTGAATGAGGTGAAAACCTGGGAGCAATCAACTAAAGAAACAAGCTTTTCAAGCATATTTGAGTTTTTGCAGTGAAGTTGTTTTTAGTCGCTAAGTTGTGTCTGACTCTTCACAACCCCATGGACTATAGCTCACCAGGCTCCTCTGTCCATGGAAATTCCCAGGCAAGAATACCAGAGTGGATTGCCATTTCCTTCTCCAGAGGACCTTCCCAGATCAGAGATTGAACCTGCATCTCCTGCACTGGCAGGGAGATTCTTTACCACTGAGCCACCAGGGAAGCCCTTTGTAGTACAGTAGCCCAGCTCTTTAGGAGCTGTGAGAAAATGTCTATGTGATAGGGAAGAGAGGTTAAACACACACTTTCAGAGCTTCCCCAGATTGTAGGCTCTGTGTGTCCTCGTGCAGCACAAGATCACGTTCTGTCCCAGAAAGCCACACCTGAATAATGCAGTTGGCATTCTTAGAATGCATCTAGTAGTGGATTAATAGGAGAGCTTTCCACAGGTCAATCAATGGCGTCTCTGCTTCTGGCTGGCTTGCAGATTGCTCCTTCTTAAGACATGTCTTCTTTTTAAAAGACAGCTGAGCTTGTTGGAAGACAGAAGAGTAAAGAGAATCAGCTGTTTTGATCTATCATTCCCTATCTCACTCTCTCCTTCCTCTTCTTTCCCACTTACACTTGCAACTCCTTCAGGCCAGACTTTTGATTACCTTGATTTTCGTTTCTTTTGCCTCCTCCTTCCTAAGAATGAATGATATACCTCAAACATAATGACTTAAGCAGCACGTATGTCTCATGTGTTTGACTGCATTTCTGGTTCCTAAGAATTAGGAACCAGAGTTCAGTTCAGTTCAGTTGCTGTCATGTCTGACTCTTTGCAACCTTATGGACAGCAGCACACTAGGCTTCCCTTGTGATACTTGTCCAGCTAAGTCTGACAACCTATGGCGCAGTAGAAGAAACGCTGTCTGGTACTTTTAGTAGGTATTTGATATTAGTTTGTCTTTTTAAAAATTGATCTGTAGGTCAGCTACAGGTTTTGATTAAAAAGAAAATACTTAAATTTATCAATATTTTCAAAAACAAACAGATTGCTTCACACACGATTCAACATGACCAGTAGTTGTTTGAAATGTTACTGAGCACTTACTCCGTTACAGTGCTTGTTGCACTTTACAGAGAAATAAAGGATCATGTTTCGATTAAGATTAATTTTGAATGCAATTGAGTACCTGACTAAAGAATAAGCATTGCTATACATTGCTATACATTAAGCAAAAAGGCAATTATTTTCTTCCTATACAAGAAGCCTGGTGGTGGTGATTTAGTGACCAACTCGTGTCTGACTGTTGCAACCCCATGGACTGTAGTCTGCCAGGCTCTTCTGTCCAGGGTATTTCCCAGGCAAGAATACTGTAGTGGGTTGCCACGTCCTTCTCCAAGCATGAAGCCTAGAAGTAGGCAATTCAGTGCTCAGTGAGGTTATTAAGGACTTGGATTCTTTCTCTTCTACTTCTCCATTCTTCTGTTTGTAATCTCATGATTTCAAGATGATTCTCACAGGTCCAGATCTCATAACTGTGTTCAAATGAGGTGGTGGCTGAGGGAGGAAGGACAGGTCAGGGTAAATGTGACTTTTTTAAAAGAGTGTCATCCCTGTTTGAGCAAACTCCAGGAGATGGTCAAGGACAGGGAAGCCGGCATGCTGCAGTCCATGAGGCTGCCAAGAGTTGGACATGACTTAGTGACTGAACAATGACAACAACAACCCCTGTTTTATCACAGAAACATGCCCAACAAATTCAAGGCATGATAAATAAGAAGGCACATTCATATCAAGGTACTTTGTGGTCAAAAGACAAAGAAAAAAAAATCTTAAAAGCAGTCAGAGGGAGAAATAGATTATTTACAGAAGAAAAACAGACTTTGGGCACACTTATCAAAAGTAACATGGATTTTAGAAAGCACTGGAATAGTACCTTCAAAAGGCAGAGACAAAGTAACTGGCAACCGAATTTTCTATAACCAACAATCTTTCAAGAATGATGGCGGAATAAAAACATTTTCAGACAGACTACAAAATGAGTGTTAACTATCA